CGCTGGGCACGTCGAGCGCCGCTGGGCCGCCGGCCACTTCCACGGACGGGCCGCTCGGAGCAGCTGACACGAAGGGCGCGGAGGCGACGCTGGAGAGCGCCGAGGCGAAGTGCGTGTCGGAGCGCGGTGCGCCGCCCGCGGGGCACACGCACACCATGGATGCCGGGCCGGCGGGCGCCTCCAGGCAGCTCACGCACACGCACACCTTCGCCCGCAGCGCACCACCCCTCCTCACATTGTGCGTAAGCCTTATGTAGAACACGTAGCAATGCTAAATGGTGAGCAAGTAGCGAATGCGTTACCTCGGGGGCGGGCGGCGCCTGCGCGACTGACGCCGCGAGTGCGGCAACGTCCACGGCGCCGGGGGCGGCGCCCTCCTGGCAGCACACGCACACGCACACGGCGGAGAAGCGCTCGGCGCGCTCGTAGCACTCGGTGCACACGCACACCACCGACGAGGCGGACGATGACGCCGCGCTCGACAGCACCGACGACGCGAGGGCCGCCGCCGCCGCCGGCGCCGCCCCCTCGTGGCACACGTCGCACACGCACACCGACGACGCGGACGACGACGGCGGCGGCGACGGCGACGACGACGGCGACGACGACGAGGGCGACGACGATGACGGCGACAAGGACGGCGACGAGGCGGAGGCGGTGGCGGCAGCGGCGCCGAAGGCCGGGCCCTCGTGACACGTGACGCACACGCACACCTCCGACGACAGGGCCTCCTCGGCCGACACGAACGATTCGACAGACGACGTCCCCATCGACGACAGCGAGCACGGCTTGGCGGCCACCTCCGGGCTCGGCGCCACCGTGCCGGAAGCGCTTCTGGGGCCACTGGGCAGACTAGCAGCCGACGGGGATTTGGCGGTCATTGGAACACTAGCAGCCGGAGAAGCGGCTGAACGGGCTGCACTGGCTGCAGAAGGTGTTTTGGATGGGCACGGAACAACTGTGCCAGAAGGGGTTCTGGATCCACAGGGCAGACTAGCAGCCGATGGAGATTTGACCGCAATCGGAACACTAGCAGCCGGAGACACAGCTGAACGAGCAGCGCTTGCAGCCGAAGGTGTTTTGGATGGGCACGGAACAATTGTGCCAGAAGGGGTTCTGGAGCCACAGGGCAGGCTAGCAGCCGACGGGGTTTTGGCGGTAATAGGAACACTAGCAGCCGGAGACACAGCTGAACGAGCAGCGCTTGCAGCCGAAGGTGTTTTGGACGGGCAAGGAACGACAGTGCCCGACGGTGTTCTGGATCCACAGGGCTGACTGGCAGCCGATGGGGTTTTAGGAGCAACTGGAGCGCTGGGAGCCGGAGATACAGCTGAACGGGCAGCACTAGCTGCCGAAGGTGTTTTGGATGGGCACGGAACAACTGTGCCAGAAGGGGTTCTGGAACCACATGGCATGCTAGCAGCCGATGGGGTTTTGGCAGCGATTGGGACACTAGCAGCTGGAGATATCGCTGAACGGGCAGCGCTTGCAGCGGATCGTGTTTTGGATGGACAAGGAACAATACTGCCCGAAGGGGTAACGGATCCACAGGGCAGGCTACGAGCCGAAGGAGTTACGGCTGTACGGTCCGACGGGGTTTTGGATGGACACGGAACGACAGTGCCCGAAGGGGTCCTTGATCCACAAGGCATGCTCGCAGCCGAAGGGCTTTGTACAGCAATCATTGGAGTAGTAGCAGCCGATGGAGTAACGGCTGAACGTACAGTGCTAGCAGCCGATGGGGTTATGGCAGCGATTGGGATACTAGCAGCTGGAGATACAGCTGAACGGGCAGCGCTTGCAGCCGAAGGTGTTTTGGATGGGCAAGGAACGACAGTGCCCGACGGTGTTCTGGATCCACAGGGCAGACTAGCAGCCGATGGGGTTTTAGGAGCAACTGGAGCGCTGGGAGCCGGAGATACAGCTGAACGGGTAGCGCTTGCAGCCGATGGTGTTTTGGATGGGCACGGTACAACTGTGCCAGAAGGAGTTCTGGATCCACAGGGCAGACTAGCAGCCGATGGGGTTTTAGGAGCAACTGGAGCGCTGGGAGACGGAGATACAGCTGAACGGGCAGCGCTTGCAGCCGTCGGTGTTGTGGATGCACAGGGCCTAGGAGCCGCCGAGGGCATGCTAGCGGCAGAAGCTGCCGGTACGCTGGAGGCCGAGGCGGTTTTGTATCCACTCGCGACGCTCGCGGCCGAGGGCGTTGGCGCGGCCTCGCCCACGGGGCTGGGGCCCTGGTAGCTGGAGGCGGAGGCGGCGACGGAAAGGCCGATGGAGGCGGAGTACGTCTCGCCCTGGATGGTGGCCTCCACCTCCAGCCCCAAGTCCACGTCGAGGGCCGCGGCGGTGGCCACGCCCGGGGCGCCGGGGCTGGGCGCGGGCGCGGGCGCGAGCGATGCCTGCGACGGAGCCTGGGGGAACGGCGGGCACCGCTTTCAATCTGCCGCCTTACCTCACCGGCTTTCATGCCGGCCTGCTGACCCCATGTTCGCGGGTGCAACCAGGTCGAAGTTAGGAGATTTTTCAGGTCCCAAGCATCGATGATATGCATGCAGACGTTTGTCGACAAGTTAAACAGGTACCAGGAATGCACTTGGCCGATTCTGGCAACATTAAATCCTCTAGTAATTAAGTACAAAACAGCTTGGACTTGAATTACTGTATAAGTGAGCGGACACTGTATCTTGGCCTGCGTAATCTGGTATTCAAACGAAACGTGGGTACACTTCCTCAGGATAATCCTCACAAGAAGGCGCTAGGGACTCGTGGAGAGAGCCTATGCACTAATGTGTGGAGGTAACCGTGTATGGCAGCAACAGAAGCCTAACCGCAAATAGTTACTAGCGACCCGCGCGCGAAATCTCCCATGCTAACCCCGCCCTCCGTTAGTTGCTTTTGTTCCCAGTTTTTCTTCGGACAATACCACGTTACACAGCCACATCTTGATCTTTTATCTGTGAAAGAAATTCGCCTAAAATTAAATTTGCGAGTCGGTGACTCGCCATTTCGTTGCAGTCCCGAGCGTTGTTGAATGCCAGAGCACTTTCCGAATTCTTTCGCAGGTCGTGGTTCTTACAGCTGTTGAGAAGAAGCTGGCTAACCCGGATGAAGAGGAGCGCACAGAACGAAAGTGCGGGTTGCCCAGAGAAACGAAGCTGGGGGTACAAGGGGGTACGCACGGGGGGCGCGCCGAGGGGGGCCCAGAAGCGCTCGTCGGCGGGGGCGCGCGTGGGCGGGCGGCCTTCCGCCGCCGCCGCCGCCTCCTCCAGGCGCCACAGCGCCTCCAGCAGCAGGCGCTCGCAGCGCGCCACCTCCTGCGCACGCCCGCACCCGCACCCGCACTCGCACGCGCCTTCAAACCCATTTCATGCGCGTCTCCGGTGTTCAACGGATTTAAATACAAAATATACCACATTACAAGCACATGTATGTCTTTTACATACACAATCATCTAAGAGTATTTTAGGACCACCTAACCACGAGTGATAACATAAATTGGAACGTCACCCAGAAAAAAAGAACCGTTGGAGTATACCAGATGCATGATACTGTAACAAGGAAACTTGTCCATTATCACGATCGTCAGAACACTCTTCTTACATGAAAGTAAGCAAATTGTATCACAAATCGCAATTCATTTAGGCCTAGTAGAACCAAGTGAAACAGATAAGCAGCTAAAGTGAAACTCTTCTGGCTTTTTCTTGTCACTGATTGTACATTACGCTACTACTTCACATGTAATTACATATATAAAGATGTTAATTGCTTAATTGTCTGCCTCCATTCAATGAACAAAAATTACAATGAACATCAACACTAAAAACATACTAAATGCAAGAAGAAACCATGTACAAAGGTACGTTATGTAGTGAGACAAGCGGAAACACACCGTTTGTAGAATCTAATTTGTAAGGCGTAATTTGCAATTCGAGAAGCCGCAACGCACCACTTCCGAAGTACCTCTGCGCCAGGTTGGCACAGGACGTTCAATCCGCCAAGGAACGGAGCCCGCAGGCGCCCAGGCCATCCTGGCACGCATCTTACACCGATTCGGCAAACGCGTCTGAATCGTCGCATTTCGTTCATCTTCGCTTTCGTTCATTCCAATTCCCTTTCTCCAAGCCCTGGCGCCACGTTTCGGAAAAATTTCATTCGTTCATCATTTAATAATTTTAACATTAACGATACATTTAACGATTACAGTCAAATTTCTGCACAGTTCGTACAAATATCATTCAAACAATATACTTTTTTTAAAACAAATCGAGTACTTCACCTAAAAGATTTTTCTCTCCATTAGAAATAATATTATGAAGATTAATATTTAAAATTTCATCAATACTTAATTATACAAATCCCCTAAAAATAAAATACATAAAAAAACAAATGCAATACTAAAGAACAACATTGTATCCACTTTCGAACATAATAAACAATGTCAACAAAAAATATTCATCCAAGCAAAAAAACCAAATTGTCATTGATGACAACAACAACAACTCGTTTGCTATGACAAAATAATAGCAAATACGCCTGAATAAGAATATTATTTTTTGTAGTACTCACCGCCACGCCCTTATCCACAGCATCCCTGTCTGCCCCTGCCCCATCAGGCTGCAATGAAAAAGATCCAAAACTCAAATTCTGCACAAAATGACGCACAAAACATGAAAGTTCCATAAATAAGGATTTTTTGTATGATTACGTTTCTAATTGAAGCATTTTTCTGTAAAATTGTGTAATCATGATGATGATATTGATGATATGCAATATTATGGGCAACGAAATTTACAAAACAAATTTCCCTAACTATATTAAAAGTAATTTAAAGAAGTGAAACAGATTTGAGCTTTTTTTTCTCCTCGTAATTGCTATACACACATTTCACATAAACATAAGAATGTTAATAAAAATAATTATTTTAATTACTTGTCATAAAAATCATTTAAGAATATATATTAATTTTATATTTTACATTAATATTAATAGGTAGAGCAGGGCCTCCATTAACCAAGGCATTTGGTCTGAGGACTATCTCTAACACTGACATAACATTAAAATATATTCATACAACGAAGTCTTTAGATTCTTGCAGAGTCGCTATGCAATGCATTCTAAAGAATGCTCAAAAATACATTTTTTTATTATACTAAAATTGTTGTGCATTAAAGAAATAAACATGGCTGTTCACCCAGCCCCAACACTGTCAATTCAAAGGGAAGTAGCCCCCCTTAAGTAACAGAGGTCTTCAATTCAAGATTTCCTCTTACTGAAAATCACATTTTTATGTTGTACACTAGCAATACAAATTTTAAAGTAAGTATTATAATTGATTAATGTAATATTTTATAATATAAATATTATATTAATTACAACATAATTATAGCCATTAACAAACCTCCAAAGCTTTTTTCCATTCTTTTTCCTACTTGTACTAAATGTTAAATGGGTTTCGTTAATAGATTTCTAGTTACTAGTTGCAAACAAAACACTCAAAGTACTTGAGATAACAAGTGGAAAACTGGCATGAATAACTGTTACATCTATTGATTGCAAATTAATTATGTGTACAAATAAGAAAGCACAACACTTCAAAATGTAACTACTAAAAAGAAAGCAAAAAAGTGGCATGAATCTAACAACATATTTGACAAAATGCGATAAGTAATTTTTGCATACACACCCTTTTCCATTGTCTACTCCAAAAATGATACTGTCTTATTTTAATTACTTTGAAAATAATTTTTCCCTGAAATAAGAAAATGAACTGATTTTATCCCTGCATTTTCCAGTGATTCGCAAATCCCTGACCAATTGCAGTTTCCACATTCGTTGCCCCCCGAATACGCGACTGACACACAATGTAGACGTACTAGTCCGCTTTGGTGCAGGAGCATACCTTGCAGAGGCAAATGGCCGACTGCGTGTCTTGGGAGCGGGTGGTGGGCAGCATAGCGCGCTGGGAGACAGGGGCGTCCGCGGCCTGCAACCGAACGGCGTCAGCCTCGCAACGTGCCCACCTCCTCAAATTTGCTTTTGCTACTCAATTTGTAGCGATTCTTTCATATAAATCATACTGGATTACAAAAGACCTAATACCATGAAACAACCCCTACATTATAACAAAACCTCTTGAATCGAACAGCAAGAACAAATCATTTTCAAGCATTTTCGGTGAAAAAATGATTCGGTTAAATGATTTAACAGTCTTAAAAAGTGTATTATGTTCGTATCCAATTTTTTGTGCATCTGTACAGCACACTAATTTGCAATTCTGTAGAGTAGGCCTAAAACTGACATTTGCATAAGCTTAAGTTTACAAATCACACCATGTAAAGGTCAAGTTTATTTAGAAAGAGAGTAAACCGATTCTAGGCGCATAAACCACTGAAAGCATTATTCCCGTTAGTGTAGTGATAGTTTGGTGGCGGTGCCACCCCCCGTTGGTGGCGAGGTCCGGCGCAGACTTGCGGTGTTGCCCTTTCTAGGTATCTCCCCCAACGGAATAAGCTCTAAGCTTCCGACTATCTCCTGACGTGTGTGGTCGTGGGGCAGGTGTACGTGAGCGCGGTCCGTGGCCCGTGTGACAGCACGGACATGAACCTCCTCCGGCCAGTGCCCAGGGAACCTTGGCCTCTCCACGTCCACGACACTCAGGCAACCCCACGTGCCGCGGCCGGAGTCGTTAGAGCGGGGACCGACTTACAAACATAACATGTTATGCCATTCATATTCCGCGCTTTGTAAATCATAGTTATGAAAGTGAAAGCAGCTCCGTGCTGGATCCCAACGTCAGGCAGAACATGCGCTGCACATTGAAGCTTTGTACGGGCGTCATGAGAGGTCCATGAAAGCCAAACCTTCCGAAAGTTTCATAAAATGTTCACACAAATGTTCCCCAAATCTTTCGAACGTGTTTAATGCACGTTCCTGCACTTGGTAAACTGGAAATTCAAATATTTAATGAAAGTGGGATTTTTTGTGTGTGTGTTTTAATGTTTCAAGGTCTCATTTTGAAGATTACGGTATAAGTCGGCAACAGGAACACAATAAATTGGTGTTAAGGCTAGAGGGTGAATTTCCTATCCAAAACTTACGATTTTATGTGCATCGTTGCTTATAGTAATTTATGTAAATAGTAATTTCTTTGGCGTATTACACCAGCAAATATTCTTGAACGATGGATTCAAGAGCGAGGAGGGTTTAGTTACGATGGAGGGTAGAGCGAGGGTATTAGTTACGAAATCGGCCACTAGATTTATGAAGCAATGCCAATCTCTGGATAATCAGTCGTGCCTTCGCAACTTTCTTATTTATTTGCGTTCTGACTTCCTCATGAGTTCAAAGTATCTCCTGTGACGATCTTCACCTGCCTCGGTCATTTCTTCAGATTTTCGGAGAAAAGCAATAACAGAAGTTCAGAAACAGGAAATAGTTACTACTTCGCGCAAGTGAAGATGTGATTGGAATATTGACAAGTGCTCTCTACGAGCTTTTGCCTTCAACTGTGCATTGCGCAAGAGCAGGGCAAGCAAGGTCATCGTTCAAGAAAAGTTGCGCGAGAAATATTAAATGTTTCTTCACGAATTATACACAACTTATAATACTTCACAATTTAGATTTAGATTTATTTACTCAAAGAACAGTAAAAACGGTATGTGACGTATAGGGGAATAATGTGCGCACGTTTTCTTGAGTTTCAGAATCCCTTCTCATCATTTTAACTATAAATAGTTGAAAGATGAGTACAAGTTAAAGATAAATAAATAAAAATTAAAATAGCGAGAGATTAGCAACATTTGAAACACTAGACATTTTCGTTCCCGAGTTATAGAAAACTTATTTGCATCGGTAAACGAATTGCAAGTATGATTTTTCTGCAATGCTTACAAAATAGTAACTCGCCCTTACCTCTTCTCTTACCATTACAAGCAAAAAGAGTTCAACAAAACGTGCGCATAGTGAAGCTATATTTACGTCTAGAAGCAAAACTCAACGGATGAGGGAAAGTGGACAATCACCTGATCGAGTTGGGGGGTCATTAACATGGAAGCTGAAGTACATTATTTGTTAAAAGCAATTTATCTGTGAATGGTGACGCCTTGAGAGGGAATGGCACTGACCTCCGTAAGCCGCCGGCGCAGGGAATCGATCTCCGCGTTCTTGTCCGCGAGCAGCGTCTCCATCAGCACATCAGGCGGGACGACACTGCCAGCGGAGCCATGCGGCTCGCACGCCTGCACACAGTTCGGCACACACTTCAAGCACCTGCACGCACCCGCGCTCCCCCCCCCCCACATTCACCTACTCTCGGATTACAAATAGGACAAATAAAGACAGGCGGAAATCACAAGAAATTACAACTGTTATCTATTGCCAAAAATACGTCACTTCCCTACACATTTGTATTCTTTTATTACTATCAGACACCAACAATTTCCTGGTGTCATGAGAGTTGTGTGTGCGGAGGTTTAATCAAAGCCATCAATGTGCGAACGTTTAACCAAGAAAATGGGAAATCAATTGAATGTAAGTGAAACCATCCAAAACTGAAAAACAAAAAAAACACACATCACATGTACGTGTGGGTCTGAATGTGAAACTCCATGAGAGCAAGAGAGCGGGCGCAACATCATCTTCAACACAGCACGTAGGAGTTGCTCACACGACGTCAGGCAGGAGAGGCGTGTCCTGGCGGTGCTTTCACCGGTAGTACATTGCAAAAGCGCAACCAGGGTGCGACGGGCGTACTTGCGCGACGAGCTGCACGAGGTGGGTCGCGGCGGCGCGCGGGGTGCTGCAGGCCCAGGCGCGCGCGTCCTCGGCCGACGCCGAGGCCGCTTCAGGCGGGCCCTCCGGAGCGGCGGCGCGACGGCCGCGGCGGCGGCAGCGAGACGCCGCCGCGGCACAGCGACGAGCGCCCCCCCCCGGGGGGATGGCGTCAAGGGGGCCCCGCGCCACGCTGCCCAGCGCCAGCGACGCCCGCCGCCGCCAGGCAGCGGCGCTCGGCCCCGCCCCGCCCCCGCCCCGCCCACGGCACCACGCCGCCCGCCTTCGCCCGCCGCACCCCAGCACCACAGCAACCACACAACCTGTCATTACCTTTTAACCAAAACATTTAGCTTCAAACGCCGATAATTAAAAGTTACTAGTCCTTCCCTCCCCGTGGAACACGCGCACCCATGCTCTCATATACATCTCTATATCCAGGATGGCCGCCGTTTTCAGCGGAGAGTACTGAACTTTACGTTGACGACGTTGGGCCAACAAGATAAACGAAAAAAACATGATAACAATTACTGTTTTTAATTATTTTTTTATTTTTAATAATTGGAATTTGGCGCCAAAATAATTCGCAATATTTTAATTTTTTTTTGGAATAGTAAAATGACGATTTTCGTCCTAAAACGTATTTTTCTGTAGAAAAGTTATTAACTTATTGAGTTATATTCGTATAAATGACAAAGACGAGAGTTATTAATTTTTTTCAATACGACTCACAAACAAGGAAAATGTAAAAAATCAAAAGTAAAGAACACCTTAATACCGATCTTTTTTGGAGGTGTCACGTCTGAAATAAAACAGAAAAATTGCGAATAATAATTTTTACAAAA